CCAATCTATTCTATGATTCTATGATTATCTAAAGATGATGACTTCTTCAGAAGCTTCTCAGAGAGCTGTAGCTGCGTTTAATTTCATTCTCTGTTGCTATTTTCCCTAAAATTTAACACAAATTAGGGGTTTTTTTGTTTGTTTTTTTTTTAAGTAGCAGAGCAAGCTAGCAGTTTCCTTCTTGCAGCTGTATGGAATGTTATGGTGTGTAGTTACTAACACAGAAGACACAAACTGTGGAAAAGATGATATTTTACTGGTTTTGTTTTCCTTCCTGCTACAGGTTAGTGATTGGTGGGAAGAATATATCTACCTTAGAGGACGTGGACCCATTATGGTTAATAGTAACTATTTTGCAATGGTAGGTAAATACTCTAAATGGGTTATGTGTCAAAGCAGCACTGTAAAATCTCTGCCAAGTATCTTATTTTGTGATATCTTTCTGTTTAGATATCAATTGCTACTGTGTATGTGACCTTTGTTTTTCTTTCCTCTAGTATAACCTGCAGCCAATGTCTTTAAGTACAGTGCTGTCTTAATAACAAACTTAACGCATCTGCCACTTAGGCAAACTCATGCTGTAATGACTGAACACAGTTTTGTGCTTAGTGCAGCAAGCAATCTTTCAAAAGTTCTTTGTAGAGCTTCACGGGTAACACAACTCAACAAACAATGTGCATGCTCATATTCGCAATGTCTGTACCGGAAGTAAAATTGTAAAAGACCCTAAAATTCAAAGCAAAAAGAGGAAATATGGTAATCTTGGATTCAAGTTTTAAGTACCATTATCTTTTCTACTGCCATGATTAACAGTTATCATGTCTGTTTTAGGATTGATACTGTTTGAGGAGATTGCAACTGTTGAAGAAATTTAAGCTACAAGTCATCAACTCACTGCACTAATGCACTTCATATGTTTTAAAGCCTTTTTATATTGACCAGAATAAACTTTAAGAATGTCGATGAGAAGTACAATCAGTACTTTTTTTTTTTTAAATGTAGTCTGGTAATCATTAACTTACAATTCTTATGTACTTTACAGGACTTCCTTTATTTATCTCCCACAACCCTGCAGGCAGCTAGAGCTGGTAATATTATCCATGCCATCCTGCTTTATCGGAAAAAACTGGACAGACAAGAAATCAAGCCAGTATGTATACCAGTTTAAATGGCTTTTAATCTTTTTACAGCACAGTCTGTAAGAAGTTTATCAGTTTTCAGTATGAGAGAGGAGAGGAATGTCTTATTGTCAGAACTACATATAAGATGTAACTAAATTTGTGGTTCCAAGCATCTTAGTTATCAGTTGAATTGCACATGGGTAGAAACTACCAACTATCAAAAATACAGAATTCTGTCATGCTAACTAATTGCAGTATTTGAAATTAATGTACGTATTTGCCCAAAAGACAAATAGCGGTTTGTACTTGCATATGTTAAGGATTCTATATAACATGTTATTGGTAAGTGCTAAGCATGTAATGGTAATCTTGAGCCACAGAAGTCTGAAAAGTCTGTGGTATCATGTGGTGTGGTTGGGACCTTGAGGCCAAGAGTAGGCCAGTGGCAGCCTGAGTATTGATGATGATAAAATCCTGTGTTGCACAGATTCCTAGGTAGCAAGGAGAGGCAAGGTGATTTTGAATTTCTGTTCTGTGCAGTGGCTGTGTATTGTAGAGAACAAATATTGTGGAAACATTTAAGTAGTTCTGTTGAAGGTCATGGCAGGGATGTGATTAGTTGTATGTAACTGCAGATCTGAGAAATGTGAACTTTTGTTCCTACACTGTCAGGAATAACTTTAAAATAATAAATTAAGGGGTAATGCATGCTGCATGTTTAAGTTTTGTATCTGGACTGGCCACTGAGAGCTCTTTGTAGTTCAGATGCAGACTAGCTTCGGTTTTCCCTCCCGAAGGGTGAGCTTTTGGTAGGAGGGAAAAAAAATACAGCGACCAGAATGTCAGTGGAATCTTCCACAAGGAAAGACAACGAATGGGGAATTGGGGGGAAACTGAGTTGATATATTATAAATCTTACTTGTTTCCAGCCTGTCTCTTAACCAGATCCTGTTGTTTTTTCTTTCCTTTTTAATTTGCTAATTGTATATGCAAAATCACATTTTAATATACATTTGTTGCACAGATTCTTCTAATGGGATCTACTGTTCCACTCTGCTCAGCTCAGTGGGAACGGATGTTTAACACCTCCCGTATCCCAGGAGAGGAATCAGGTAAGAAGGGCCAGCCAAGGATAAGAAACATCTTAATGGAATTCAGGTTTTGGAGTATTTTCTGCTAAAATCCTATTTTTCTAGATAGGGATCTGACAGACATAAGGACACATCAATACTGTGTTCCAATACTCAAAAAAGTAATGAATTGCTATAGAGCATGTAGATGTTTTTCCTTTTAGGGCGATTTTGAAACTTTTTCAGGGTTTTTTGTTTCTTCCTTCACTTAAATTAAAAACTAACTTCAAGAAACCATTATCTGCCCTGTGTTTTTAATTTATAAATAACCTTTACTTTTCTCCATTCTGATCTTCCAGGATCCTTTGATATCCATATTTTTATCTTTGTAAAATTGTGTTCTCTTATTTCAACCATTTAATTTAATTTTTTTTTTTTGCTTGACTTCTTTTTCCTTTTATTTTATGATTCACAACAGCATCCTAATGTGCTCTTCTCAGTATGAACATATGTTCAGCACTAGTTGTTTACCTGGTTTAGAGGCAAGTACACTGTTGGTCCTATCAAGGTTTTCAGTGCCACTGTTACCTTGACCTTTTGTATGCACTGTTCATATTGAGCTAAGTGAAATCACCTGTAATAAGGATTATATCCAAAACTTTCTCTGTAGCACTTTAAGAAAAATATACTCTGCCCTAACTCCCAGCAATGGTCTGATTATCCTAAGCTATGAGTAACTAAGTTTTCACATTTTAATGTTGAACAGAGGGGTGTACCTCTTGCCTTAAAACAGGCTCATTTCCTCCTGAGTCTGTTCCTACTTATTGTGGGAGACTAAGGATATGTTTACATGATCACAAACAATCATGTTGGCTCAGTCAAAAAAAAAAAAAATTGTGACTATAAGTGACAGTTTCTCACTGTAGGTGTACATATGCTGTCATTGCATGTGTTCATTAGCACTGTCTATAGACAGAAAAGCATTTCACTTTAGTCAGTGACAAACCTTCAATGGCAAACCTTCGATAAATTGTTTTTTGTTGTATCTCAACATAAAAGTATCATTTTTTTGATGGTCAATACATAATCCAAGATCTTGAGACTAATTCTTCTCCATATGTTGTTATTTTTATAAAGGTAATGTATCCCTAAAGGTTCATCATGGGTTTCTCCCTAAGGTGGCCTCCAAAGATCTCCATCAGCTTATCCTAAATTTTCCAGGCTCAAGCTGGTTTTTATGATCTTACTATTAAAGTGGCTTTTTTGTTGTGGTTTAGTTTTTTGGTTTTTGTTTTTTTTCTTTCTCTGAGCTTTGTCACTGTAAAAGGAGGCAGATTGCATCTAGAAATACTAACATTTGTAGTGAACAGGTGGAAGAAAATGTTACCATCCATTTTCTTGTTCTTTGAGAAGCAAACTAATAACTCCACAGCAGATTTGAGTGGAGACTTCTGCTGCTTTTGTGCTTTCTACAAGAGCTTAAGCTATATCTACATTTCTTTAATCTGGTTACATGCTGAAGAGCCTTTTAGAATTGAGTTCACATATTTTTCCAACACTGCATTATTGTGGCAGCATCAGAATGAAATACATGATTTGGCAGCGTTATCCTGACAGTCATGATCAGTGCAGAGGACAGGCACAATTTGGAAGGCAAGGGGTTATTGGTTAGTCACTTCCATTGGGAATATATGTATGGGCTGTCAGTTGAAGATAGGATAGATTTTTTTTGTTGTTGGCGGTGGTGGATTTTTTTTTTTCTTTCTTTGAGATCTCTAGCTCTTATGTTTCAAGTTGCCTTTGAGCATGTTAGTCCCACTGAACTACAGAATAAAAAGCATAAAGAGTTTCTAAACAGACCCAGGGATGTGTCCATTCTTTCTTGCTGGAGGTCTGACACTTGCTGTACTGTGTGAAGTTGTACAAGGGGGGAAGTGGCCTTGGATGGTGGATGTGTCAGATGAAGATTTTACTCTCAATTTTGCTGCTGGCCTTTGCTAGATTACTGAGGAATTATTTCCCAGCTATGTCTCAGCTTCCTTTATCTGCAAAATTGAGAAAAAACATATCCCTAATGTGATTACTCCCTGATCATGAACTAGCAGCTTAAGTAGACTAGCAAGTTTTAAAATCTCTGATAGACAATGGTAGTATATGAGCTATTGTTATTTAAAATACTTCATGTACTGAAAGTGCTACCCTTGCCCCTTCTCTGTCCTTAATAAAATAAAAGGTATGAACTGTTTGCATTTAGCTTTGGATTTGGAGTTCTCTTAGTCTGAAATGAGTTTTGCACAAAAGTGTAGAAGTGGCCCATTCTAACTGTAACACCTGATTAAAATACATCCTGTGTATCATAATGGTTCTCCTCAGTTTCTCCTGCTTAAAGTCTTTCAGATTAAAGTACAGTCAGCATCATAAAATGACCTCATTTTCTTCCTAAGCACTTCACATTTCCTCTGTTAATTTTTCAGTTTTTCATTGTTTCTATTTTTTTAAAGGAAAAACAACTTTTGTCATTCTGTATGTGGATAAGTGAATTATGAAGACATTTTTTCCAGATTCTCATGAGTAGCTTGATTTCTTGCCCCTGATTTCAGTTATAACACTATTTTAAGTATGTTACAGTTCCTAAAGAGCAGCGTATTTAAAAAAAAAAAAAAATTCTGTGGCATATCTTCATGTTAATTGGTGGTAGAATCTTAATGAACATTGTATTTTGTTGCTTGAGCAGTTGTTTAATCTTCGTGTCTTTTAACGAAACACACTATGGAGTGAACCACTTCTTTTAAGCAGGAAAGGGCCTTTATGTCTTTCTGTTCCCATTTTTTTTATAGGAAACCTATGCATCATGTTACATGCATCTTCAGATGTACATGAATGACTTCTTGGACTGGCAAGAAAAAGGAAAGACTTTTTTTGTATTGCAAAAAATCTCTCTCCAGGTGCATAAATCTGTATTTAGGCCCATAAGTAAGGTGTCTGAAAGGTAATTGCCAGCGCTTACCAACTGTTGTGAAGCCAGTTGTTGGCTAATGACTTAACTTCTGCTTTTTACACTGAAAAGGTTGTCTTTTTTGTACGGACGCTTCATGTACACGAGACAAGTATTTGGAGTTTCCTGACTCAGGTTGGGATTATAGAAAGTTACCTCACTAGCTGATTGGTTTGCTGCTGCTTTTCCCCTCTGTGGGGTTTCTCCTCTGTTCACAACCCGTTGTGTCCGTGTACTTGACAATGGGAATGATGCTTCTTCCCATCTGAGCACATTTCTCACAGGCATCTTATCTTTGTCAGAAATGCAAAGTAGGCAGCCAAAGGCATTAACTAGCATAAAACTGCTTCTGATCAGTAGATGGAGCATACCTACCAGAGCTTTTTGGATAGTTGAGAACACCCAAAGTACAGAACTCTTTCCTGGTACAACGTTTCTCAGATCTCTTGGAATCATGACTTTTAGGCTTAGCCCTTATTTTTGACATCATCTTTCTTCACCATCTCAGTAATGGGTATTTTCAGATCCATAGGAGTATAACAGTTCTTTGGGGTAGTGAAGGAATTAACTTAACAGTTTTCACCAACCTTCATCTAATTTCAGGCTTATCCCAATTAAGCCATGTAAATAATAAAGTGAGGAAAAAATCTGTGGCTGCAGTTTGTGCTTTTGGCCATAGATGGAATAATCACTCTGCATCTGCCAGGATAAATGTAAACAAAAGTTTGTGGTACTAAATTTGGGCTCTCTTAAGGCTCCCCACAGATTGTACCATGAGTTGTCTAGTACTTGAATGCAGATGACTTCAAAGTACCTTTCCTCTCAGTGTCTTCTTTTGCTGCCTGCTTAATCAGACTACATTACTAGTGCTTACTTTTCAGATATGTAAATACAGATTGACTTGCTTAATATTTGCCTCCAGTGTGGAAACTGATGGTGCTATGTATGCACCAGTCAGATACCCAGAGGATCACATCTGGGTATTTGACTGTTTCCTGCAGGAGTCTTTGTGCTGAAGTAACAGGGGAGTGATTTATTCCCCACTATTTATTACTTTATTAAACTAAATAAGCTGTGATGAACTGGTAGTGCACGCAGTAGGCATTTGATTTTTAGTGCATTATTATTTGGATATTTCAGCTATGTTTTCACATAAGTGATTGTGATTCTAGATACTCTCCAGCATGTGAAAGACAGCAAACACATTGTTGTGTATCATAAGGGCCGTTACTTCAAAGTGTGGCTGTACCATGATGGTAGACTGTTGAAACCCCGAGAAATTGAACAGCAGATGCAAAGAATTCTTGATGATGATTCAGAGCCTCAGGCTGGTGAAGAGAAACTAGCAGCTCTTACTGCAGGAGATAGGTATGGTGGTGATTATTTTTTAAATTAATTTTAATATTTAGAAATAGTTGCATAACATACCAATTGAATATTGGCTTTAGAATTTTAAAATAGTCGGCCGTTAGTTGATTATACCTTGATTGCTAATTTTGTATATTGTTAACATGTACCAGCTCTTCAGTCTTTTAGAACTACAAGGAGTTAAAAGTAGTTTTGCAGTGGCAACCCTGTGTGCAGATTATATACATACATATATATTTTATTTATATAAATATATATATGTATATATATAAAAAAAAAAAATCTATACTATGCTGAGCTGATGAAGTTTGGTTTAATTGTGACTATCCTAAGAGTGGTAATCGGAAGCTTTACCATATTACACGTATTGAACTACTTGAGTTTTGTGCCTACACTGGGGTTCACTGGCATTTTAAAGAATATCTTAAAAATTAAGATTGAGAATGTGATTTCAGTAACTGTCACTCCATATTCATGACTTGCACCTACCAAATAAAGCAGTATGTACTCAGTTGGTTCTAGGTAGGAGGTTATTGAATTCAGTTAAATTGTGGCAAACTTAATTCAGTCTGTCTACTTGTTTCTGGAAAAAGCTGTGGATTTTTATATACTTTCTTACTAGGAGTCCTTCCTTTTTCTCACTTTCTGCTTTAAAACAAACTGAAACATTTTTTTCATCGGGAAAACTACGTAGATTTATAAATGAACAAGGCACAGCCATACAGATTGTTCAGTTCTTCTTTATCTTCAGATCTGTTTCAGGCATTTACAATGGAAGTTTTTATTGACAATTGTCCAGACTCTTAGATTTAGGTGTTACAACAATGGATATGAATATCTGTTGATTGTTTTCATTATTAATACTATTTTCTTCTTCCATATAATATTTTCTTCAGTTATAAACATAGATTAACTATGCTATACATATTGCATGCCACAGAAATGTTGAATTTCTGAGGATTGAACTTCACACATATGTGATGATATGTTGAATTGGTTCTTAGGATTACATTGTACATGTATTTTGTATTTCTGTACATGTACAGAACTTTTCACTGCTGGTATAGTTTAAATGCAATGAAAGTGGCTGCTTCAAATTTGATAAAAGTAGGAGGAATGTCTCATAGTTATCTTAAGGGTGATAAAACATCGACAAATTGAAATATAATCTGGCTATAAAAAATTGTTTTTGCAGAGTACCATGGGCTAAAGCTCGACAGACTTATTTTATCCGTGGAAAGAACAAACAGTCCTTGGATGCTATTGAAAAAGCAGCATTTTTTGTGACGTTGGATGACATCGAGCAAGGATACAGGGAAGAAGATCCAGTGAGGTCACTGGATGCATATGCAAAATCCTTAATACATGGTAGATGTTATGACAGGTACGGTGTTGACTTTGTGGAAAATGCCAGCTCTTTTTTAGAATTTCACTAATTCATGTAGCTAAGACATATGAACTGGTGACTTACAAGCTGATAAATTTTGTAGAATCACAGAATGGTTTGGGTTGGAAGGGATCTTCAAAAATCCACCCCAATTTGCTATGAGCAGGGCCATCTTTCACTAGATCAGATTGCTCTAAGCCCTGTCCAGCCTGACCTTGAACACTTCCAATGATGGAGTATCCATAGCTTCTCTGGGAAACTTGTTCCAATGTCTCGCCATCCTCACCGTAAAAAAATTTCTCCTTTATGTCCAACCTAAATCTGCCCTCTTGCAGTTTATAACCATTGCCCCTGTCCTGTCGCTGTGGGCTGGTAAAAAGTCTTTCTCAGTCTCTCTTAGAAGCCCTCTTCATGTATTGAAAGACTGAAAGGTGTCCCAGAGCCTTCTCTTCTCCAGGCTGAACACCCCCAACTCTCAGCTTTCAACTCTCAGCTTTTCTTCATGGGAGAGGTGCTTCAGTGCTCTGATCATTTCCATGGCCCTCCTCTGGACCCACTTGTCAATGTCTGTCTTGTACTGGGGAGCCCAGAGCTGGATTCCGCACTCCAGGTGGGGTCTCATAAGAGCAGAGTAGAGGGGGAGAATTGCCTCCTCTTGACCTGCTGCCCACGCTGCTGTCCACACAGCCCAAGATGTGATTGGATTTCTGGGCTGCAAGCACACATTGCCAGTTCATGTCTAATTTTTCATCCACCAGTACCCCAAGTCCTGTGCAGAGCTGCTCAATCCATTCATCCCCTAGTCTATTGATACTGGGGCTTGTTCTGACCCAGGTGCAGGACTTTGCACTTGACCTTGTTGAATTTCATGAGGTTCAAATTTATGTCTATTTATTTAACTAAACTGTTTTGTTTTTTTAAAGCTAATAACTAGTGCATTGGAATAACAATTTTTGAGAGAGATGAAGTTACAGTATAAAAATGCTTTTGAAATGTACAAAACCATATGGAAATCTCAATTTCTTTTGTAGGTGGTTTGATAAAACGTTCACTCTTATAGTATTCAAAAATGGCAGAATAGGTCTGAACGCAGAGCACTCTTGGGCAGATGCTCCTATTGTTGGACACCTGTGGGAGGTAAGTGTTTAAAAATGTTAATGCAGAAGATAAAGTGATAATGTCTGTGGAACAGTCCTGAAGATCAGCAGTTACTTTCAATCCCTTGGATTCACGTTGCTGATGAGTGATTATGGCCTGTGTCTACAGGGACTGTAGAATATTTTAAGAAAAACCCTTTTTAAAAGAAAAGGGTTGCTGTCCTTTAAATTAAAGGTCTTTATTGCATTTTAATGAGCATAGATGTGCTCATAGAAAAGTGATACAGCTCCTTATCTAACTTGTTTATAATATTCTGAATCAATAGATTGTTGCCTCTTTGATAGGGCATTGTATTTTGCCTGTGTATGTGATCCTGAAGCACTTAAGCTTTCTTGTACTATAAAAAACCCACACTTACTTCCAAAATTTAAATAAGTGTTGAAGAGTTTAACTTTTCCTCTAACCCAATCTTTGATGAACTGCAGATCGATACACTGTTTAAATTATCTCTTGTATTTATTTGCAGTGAATGGAATAAATGCAGTTTGTCCATCATGAGCTTAGTTTATTACTTGGAATCCTATTTGATTTTTTCTTTTTGAAGCTTAAATCCATAAATGCTTATATGACTCAATGGCTCAAAACTATTTTGTAAACATTAGCTAACTCTGATTTCATTATGTATTGGTGCAAATGGGCCTCAGGTCGGACTGGTGCCCCAAGTAATTTCCTTATTTTGTTACATAAGCTTTTCCATCTGTGTAAGAACAAAAAAGTCTCGAACCAGGGCACAAAGGTGGTCAGACTGGTTTGAGGTTGACTTGACAGTGCAGTTTAGACTAGCTGGATGGAAGAGTTACTTTGTTCTCTTTTAAATGAATGATGTTGTATGCTTTAGTTCATATCTCTGTACTGACTATTAGTTGATTCATTTTCTGCTGAGAATTAAGGTGGCTAATAAATAAAGTAGAATTTCATTTCCTAAAAAGTTTTGTTAGCCCTTTAGAGATTGTCTGTTTTTAGAAGAGAATGGATTAGGCTTTATTTTATAGTTGACGTGTTCTGACCACGAAGTGAGAAAATTAAAATAAGAGATTGGGAATATATATGTAGAGCATGCAATAGATTTTTGTTAAGCTTTTTCTTCCCATATTGAGCAGATCCTAATCTATTGACAATTCTGTGTTTGTAATTTTTTTTTTTTTTTTTTTTTTAACATTGAAGATGAAGTTTGAAATCGTGTAAGACAGAGCCTTTTTTGTCTGTTGTTCAAGTTGTATTGTTCATCTTGGAAACACTGTACTTCCTTACCCAAGACCTCTAGTGCACATATAAAATAAACTGCAATTTTGAGTGGGATGCAAATCTTAAAAATTATTAAATTCTTGCAGGGATATGTGCTTACTCTGAAATAAACTGTTTCTTGATGAACAAGTTTAGGCAGACAACAAACTTGCAGAAATTACCTAGAATCTTAATTGAACAAAGGTTGGGAAATCTAAGACTCTTAAGACTGACACTTTTTTACTACTAGTAAGTTTGAGGTGGGTTTTCAATTGAAATATTTTGATTAATTCAGTAGCATCTAACAAAATGCACCAGTGTAATTGAATAGGTGTTTGTGCATATCTGGTATTCTTCCCACTCAGAACACATGTAAAAATACCTTAAAATAAGATGTAAAATAGAGAGCTTCACTTGAAACTGTTTTCAGTATTTGGAAATGGGTTGTATATTTTATTTCACTATGTACTGAAAATGTGTTCTATTGATACTGCACTGAAATTCCACAGCAATATGCCACATGTTGCAATTCTGAAGAAGTATTGTTCTTTGCAGAATGCAATGGCAACTGAGTGTCTTGAACTGGGCTACTCAGAAGATGGGCATTGCAGAGGAGATACCAATCAAAACATTCCTGTTCCTACCAAACTACAGTGGGAAATTCCAGAAGAAGTAAGTAGGAACAGCTAGTGGTTTGAGGAAGAAGCTTATCTTTTCCTGAGCAGTCAGATCAATACTGACAACCTTATAAATCAGTTTTAAATTGCTTTGAGTCCTGTAAAATGTGTATTTCATGTGTGGGCATTACTCAGCTTGCGTAAAAAGGTATCAGGGGTTCTTAACATCACTTTTTAAAAATTCTGGCCAGGAAATGCCAACTTGTTACTAGAAACTTTCTTGATTGACAACATGTCAAAAATAAGTGGCCACCTATTTTAAACAGTAACTGTATTAAAATGAAGTTTTAAGTTGCTGAGGTTTCATTACTGCTGTCTCAGCAAATGCTCTGGTGTAATAGTTCCTTGAGATTAAGTCTCTTGTTTGTTCAGAAGTCTGTAGACATGTCTGATAAGGTTTGATTTTTCTGCCTGAGTTCAAGACAAACTGCCTAGTTTGGATTTTAATTTTGAATAAAAAGGTAATGGTTGGTGATATGTTTAATTAAGCATGTGTGGCAGATTCGACGCCACGCAACTATTGCCATTCTATTTCTGTGGGTTGTTCATTTATGTTCTAGTGACCTGAACAGTCTTAATGCTGGTGTTTTAAAGTGTAATTTTTGGACTTCAGGTGTGTATTGGCTTAAAGCTTATTTTTTATTAGCTTTTGAATGTTAACTTTCTGGCAAAAATAGCTTCTCCTCATTCTTCAAAAGGAGATTATTTAGATAACGATGTTCCTGGCATACATAAAGGCAGCATTTCTTATTTATCAGTTAAAAGTAATTGCACTTTTTCAACAGTTCTCTCAAATGCCATGGAATGCATGCATATGCACATATGTCCATATAGATACATATTTATTTATTTGTTTGTTTGTTTTAGTGTCAAGAAGTTATTGAGAGGTCTCTGAGCACTGCCATAGCTCTGGCAGATGATGTGGACTTCCATTCATTTTTCTTCGATGCTTTTGGGAAGGGTCTAATAAAGAAAGCAAAAACCAGCCCTGATGCCTTCGTGCAACTTGCCCTGCAGCTTGCTCACTATCGGGTAAGGAAAACAGACTTTTGGGCTTATAGAATCTCATTAGATTGGGTATAACATGTTTGTGATGAGAATATGTTAACTGGGTAAAATACTTTAGAATTTAGAAATAACTACTTATGCGAGGTTGTTAAAGACATTCAATGGAAATTGGTACAAACCTTAAACAGATTACTAGCTGTAAATTGATTTTCCAAAGGTTGGTGTATTAACACAATTTTTTCTCTTCTGCTCAGTTGATCTATTCCTAGGCATTTTGGACTTGAAAGAAGTAGATATGAAAATTCTAGTAGCTGTGTTTATAATCTAAACTGTGTTTATAATCTAAACTTCTTTTAGTTTGGAGTCACTTTTAATTCAGCAGTCATGGACACTCCCTAACAGCATTAACAGCCTGTATTTTTTTCTGTTAGTTCACCTTCTCTATAATGTGCTTTCAGAAAACACCAGTGTAGCAACATGCATGTTTTTCATTTTACTTTCTAGTTGTCACTGTTGAAATACTGTTCTACTTTTTTTTTTTTTTTTTTTTTCTCCTTGAAGTAATTTCAAATGGTTTTTCAAAGCATCCAGATTTCCTGGCTGCTATCACCACATACAGCCTTTCTTACCATTGGTTAGAGTAGTGACATGGCAAATAGCTTGATTATTCACCCACCCCTTTTATTTTGAACACCCATCCTCTTAATCTAAAACTGAGCAGACTTTCATGATCTGTTCTGATGTATATATTAGACAAGTAGAGTTGCTAACATAAGTTAGATAAACTATAATTTGGCAACATTGTGCACATCTACAGGAAATATGGAAGCCAAGCTGCCTGGATTTTGCAAATTGTTTTCAGTTCTCACGTTCTTGAAAATCCCCACATTGACGTGCATCTCCATGTTGTTAAACTTTTAACTGAAAATACTTTTAAGGATGTTAGTTTTCTCAATTACTTACCACAGCTGTGTTAATTAGGAAGCCACTGAAATTTCAAATAAGTTTTTGATAGCCTTTAAATAAACTTCTGTTACAAACTGAAGAAAACTGAATGTACAGTGCAGAGAGTAGTCCTTGCTAGTTTGGTTGTTCTATTAGCATTTATCAAATCCTGCTACTAATCTTATTTTTGCCTTTATTATCTTTACGTAAGACTGCTAATGGTGGGCTACCAATGAGTTTAATTTGTGGAGTGATTCATATCCTGTGTGATTATCTTGAACTGTTGATTAAGAAAGAAGGATTAAGTCTGGCTAAACATTTAAGTTCTCATTTTTCCCTTCTAAAGGACATGGGAAAATTTTCTTTAACATATGAAGCCTCTATGACACGCTTGTTCAGAGAAGGCAGGACCGAAACTGTTCGTTCATGTACTGTTGAGTCATGTAATTTTGTTCGAAGCATGGAAGATCCAACTGAAAGTGTAAGTTCACCCTGTTGTTGCCTTATACAATCCATAAGGCACATCACCAGATATCTGTATAAGTTCTCAAATAGTTTTTAAACACTTAGAGTGATGCTTTTGTTTTTTAGGAAGGAAGTGCAGCATAAGGTAATTGTCCACATTTTCTGTCAATATGGCAGAAATTCAAGGCTCTACTGAAAGAGAATAGCAGTAACTTAGCCAAATATGCAATTTCTTACAGTCCTGAACTCCAGAAAACTGAGATGACTTGTGAAATTTGTCACTTGTAAAACTCAAACATAGATTTGTAAAACAGGGAATCTCATACCAGTTAGGCTTCCCTTTCTGATAGGGAAGCAAGTATTATTCACAGGAAATAAGTAGTTGCTCTTACATGTTGATTTCAGTGGGCTTTTTAATCTTTCTTTTGATGTTCTGATTAGCAAACAAAGGAAGCATGGTCTAGGGGGAAACTTCTTGATTTGGAAAACTTGGACAGTACTGGTTAAAATGTTTGCTGTCAAAATGGAAGGGTGGAGGACAGTCGTTTTGAGGATTGTCTGTTCTTTAATCCACTGCTAATCCCAGTTTTCACAGGTACAGTTAATGAAATAAATCATTACATTTGCAGGTTTTGCTAAGATGGAGAGTATTTCCAGTTCTTCAGAGTCAATAAAAATTGGACCTGAAAAGGAGGATTTTGTTAAATAGTAATGCCCTCAAGGTATTGCATCCTGGCCTGAGTAACAGCTGCATGGGTAGAAGTTCTAATGAAAAAGACCTAGGATGATAATAATCAGTAACTGAACACTGACATAGCACATTCAGTGCTATGCCATTGGGAAAAATGAAGCCCTCACTTTAGTTAGTTAGTCTTGCTCTTTATTTTTAGTAGTCTTTTGTCTCTGCACTTTTTCCCCTAGTAGCACATTAGCTGGGGTAATGTGTCCAGTTTTGGACACCACACTTGAGGTACAGATGGATTGCAGAGAGTCTAAAGGAGAGCAAGAAGAACGATTAGAAACATCTGAAGAGGATCTGTGGGGAGAGTTTGAACTTAATTATTTTTGCCTCATCTAAAGAAGAGAGAGCACTGTGGAAGAGGTAGGGAGATGCATTGTGCTCAAGAAGATAAAAAGGCTGATGCAGAGATGATGGGAACAAACTGTTCTCTGTCCCAAGTAATGGGCTTAAATTTCAGAAAGAAACACATTAGGGAAACTTTTTCTGCTAGTAAGGATAATGAATGAGGAGGGAAATAGTGAGAAGCCTGAAACAGGTTACTAGGGGAGGTTGTTATCACTTTGAAAATCTTTAGAAGTAATTTACATAATGCTCCTTCAGGAAAGAGTTTTAGTTGATCAGATCTTTGAGCAGAGAAATCTAAGCAGGTGAACAGTTGAAAGTTCTTTCTAGCCCCACAATTCTATGAATAAATGTTACCACAAGAAAATAAATGCACAGAGAAAGAGATAAACTTTTTTCTCCCTCCTCTTTCTGGAAGTTCCGTATTTCTCAATATGCTGTGCTGGGAGCTGTGCTGAGACCAGCACAAGTCTGGAAATCCAGACATGGCAACGTGGCATACATAACTATGGCACAGCTACTGTACAACCTCCCTGAGTATAGAAAGTCATTTTGACATAGTCCTATTACATCTCTGCAGTTAACATTTTTATTAAAGGAATAAAGTAGCCCCATACATGGCAAGATCATACATAAAACAGATTTCATTCTGCTCTTTTTTTTTTAATGGTTACTACAAACATGATTCTTTTTCAAACTTGTGGATTCATTACTGCCCTTCATCTGGAATGATCAACCAAAGAGCAGAGGAACCCAGAGAAACCCTGCCATCATAATGCAATTTTTAGTTTTTAGGTGCTATGAAGATTATATTATATGCATTTATATGTTATATTAAAAAGAGCTGTCTGCCTTTACTGCTTGCTTCCACTTTTCTCTGAGCTTTTCCATAGAGTTTTTCGTAAGCACTTGTATCCTCCATGGACTATCCACAGAGCTGTACTCCTGAATGCCAATGGTAGACATGCTTGGCATTACTACAATTGATTAATTAGTTTCTCATGCTGGAGGCAAATAGGCTGCTCACCATATCCCAAACAAGCAGTGTAAAATGCAGTGATGCTGGAGATAAGAAGTGGCAGGTTGCTATATACGCAGTGTGCTACATTCCACATATGAACATTCTGTTAAGATTTTATAGAATCATAGAATATCTCAAGTTGGAAGGGACCCATAAGGACCATCGAGTCCAACTCCCTACTCCCACCCAGCTTTCACTCTAATTGAGCTATGGCCACATGAATTCACTCCCTGCAGTGGCAAACAGCATCTCTGTAGTCCTCCCATGTCACCTGTCCTTGCTTCTCTTGTCCATACTCTTTCCTTGTCCACCTAAGTTCTGGAAGATCCCTGCTCAGCCAAGCAGGCCTTCTGCCCCACTTCCTTGACTTCCTACACTTTGGAATTACCTGTTCCTGAGCTCTTAAGATAAGGCTTTTAAAAAATGACCAGCATTCATGGACCCCAATACTTTCCATGTTGTCAGTTTGCCTTCTAAAATGGCTGTTGCAGTTCCAGCTTTTCTTAAATCATGATGAGATTTGCTTTTCTATACCTTTTTAAGACCTGTGTCTCTAGAAACTAAATATACAATAATGTAGTAAACTTGAGTTGTAGTCACGTTTGATTCTGTGGTTAGGTCATACTTCAAATACAATTTTGTTTTCATTATGCGCTGTTTACAGCAGGTAATAGTTGAGACACTTGCTGATACTTGAAATCAAATACATGAGGTTGAAAAGCCAGAGGAGCCCAGTATTTGGGGTTAGTTGCATGCATTGTCTTGTACTTGACCCTTAAGTGCTCTAGGCTTGAGAGCCATTGCTGTAACTTAGTTTCTGCACCTCCATCCTCAACCCAGTTTACTTAACTGATTTTTCTTGATCTTGTTTTCATTGTTAGACTGAAAATACACTTAAGTTCTTTCGGCTTGCTGCTGCCAAACATCAGCACTTGTATCGTCTCGCCATGACGGGTGCTGGCATTGACCGCCATCTCTTCTGCCTTTATGTCGTGTCCAAGTACCTTGCTGTAGATTCTCCTTTCCTTAAGGAAGTAAGTGACTTTAATTGATAACTATTAATTATGGTAAATAATCCTCTGTTTATGTAGTGTTTTGTGGTATCTGCTTACATACTTATAGAACTCTGGTTTTCCTAAGACAAAAGGTAAGAGTTTAGCTAGCATCACTTAACATCTGCTTGTAGATCATAAGTTAGTTTCATTTTGCTTTGTGTATATACTTATTAATAGACCTATAGTAAAGCTTTCTGTGAGCTTTGTAGTATAATACATGTTACTAAGGATTGCAAGAAAGATATAGTCAGTATTACCAAACAAAAATATTGGTTGCTTGCGGTTTTTACATATATTCAAGTCAACATAACAGAGGCTGTGTGTTTTCTCTCAATAATGTTGTTCTGAAACTATGACAAAATCACTTTCTTTTAAATTACTGTGATTTAAAGGAGCTGTATATTGCAATTTATTTTTTTTTTATGCACAACATTAATGTTCCTGTTAATTACCATGAGAAATGCTTTATTACTTAAACTAGATTTTAAGGTTGGGTTTTATACATGTAATTATATTATACTTGTTCCTGTTTTCTGATTAATAAAAAATGTATTCCAACTTTCCGCCAAATTAAGCTACTCACATTTGTCTGCTTGCCCTCCTACATGTGAGTAGTGGCTAAGTCAAGAATAAAACAACTTTCAACAGCTTCTGCAGACTTTCAAGATACACATACATTGTTAGAGATTTTGCAAGCTTCTAACTTGATGTAGTATCTTGCCAGGATTTGAATATGGACATTAGTGATCTTGTGAACAAGACCTGTTATGCAGAATTTACCAGGCTATAGAGCAGGTTCATCTGTTTTGAAATAGCATTTCTATTGAAAGAACTTACATTCTCTTTGAGGAGTTGACATCACGACCTCATATGTTAATGGTATCAGTACAAGTTTAGCTGTTTCTTTTAACCCTCTAATTGTTCAATCCATTGAAATGGGAACTGGAGTTATCCTTAATACTGCTTTACTGAGTGCTTTCTTGACAAGTTTTTGAGTAAGTTGCATGTTCTTCAACAGTGTGTTATACTTGTTTACATCTCTTTCATATCTAATAAAGGTTTTGTCAGAGCCTTGGAGGCTGTCAACGAGTCAGACACCACAGCAACACATTGATCTGAAGAAGAACCCTGAGATGTTATCCTGTGGTGGAGGATTTGGACCAGTATGTTTGCTAAATACAAGTACACCTTTAAAACAGTTTTATTTTTAATATGCCAGTCTAAAAAATTTATATGTATAATACCTTAATGTTGCACATCATAGGTACAACACATGCTTTTAAATGCATGTATTTACTGCTTTCCTGTGATGTGGATGTGCTCAGAAAAATCTGCATCACTTTTTTCTCATATCCCACTAGAATGGATTATTCTTAATGAAATACACAGTTATCAAATGTGGTGTAGAGCTCCATGGGAGAGAGATCTGATAAAGGCTTTTATCACATTACCTATACCCAGCGCTTCTGTACATCAGGCTATTATTACAGTGACAAATACCTTATTACTTAAACTAGATTTTAAGGTTGGGATTTGTAAAAGTAATTATACTTGACTTGTTCTTTATATTTCCTGATTAGAAAAAAAAAAAAAAAAGTGTTCATATTTTCCTCCAAAGCAAGCTATTGACATTGTTCTGCTTGCCCTTCTAAGTGTGAATAGCAGCAAAGTCCAGAATAAAGCCACGTTCTACAAGTGCTGTAGACATTAAAGAAATAAGCATATTGTTAGAGATTTTACAGGCTTCTGACTTGTTGTGGTGTTTTGCCAGGATTTGAACATGGCCACTGATGACAATGATGTTGTTAACAAGTTATATTAAGCAGACTTTCTGAGGCTATAGACCAGATTATTCTGTTTTCAGAAAGCATTTCTATTGAAAGAACAATGAAAGGGATCACAGGACTGCTTTTTGCCACACAGAAATTAGGGTACAAGTACAGTGTATTTTGGCTGGTTTGTCAAGCTGGAAGTTGGGTTTTGGTTTGGTGTGGGTTTTTTTAATTTATTTATTCACGTTCTTGAAGTTGGAATGAGTTTAAATTGCAGCATCAAGGAAGCCTAGCTATTGCAATACTGCTCGTTCATGAGAAACTGGCTTGCTTCATCAGATTATCAAATCAGGATTTGGAATCCCCAAAAAGATGTGATCTGGCAATAAAATGGGGTTTTGGCTGCAGGAATTTCTATCACTTTTTTTCCTTTTTGTTTTTGATAATGCTACATCAACTGCTCCCTTCTTACTGTTTCTTTAGTCCTTTAATTTCCTTCGTTCAGCTGTCTGCCTTTCCAGATAACTTTGCTTACATTTCTCTTCATCATTTCTTGTATCCTTACAAAAACTGTGCTTTGGTTTGCTTAAATAGCCCAGAGATTCAGTCCATCAGGCTTTCCATGTGTGAGTATGTTGTTTGTTGGTTTGTTTGGTTTTTTTTAAAAGCATTCTGTAGAACATATCCCTGTAGCACTAATAGAGAGACAACTATCAACCTGCTTAGCAGCAGTGGCAGCACAGAGCT